TTTCTAGGGTTCCTAAAATATAAAGTCCATTTACATTGTAATGGCCCAGAGTAAGAAATAAGTCTTCAGAGTTTGGTTATGATAATGACCAACAGGGACCATGAGTGAGGGCCATTTGACCTCTAAAACTCTCACAGTAAAGAAAAGGTTTTCATTTCAATATGTAAGATGTTTTTTAGGCTGGAAACTGCTGATTGTGAGCTCAAAGACTCCAGGCTGAGTGACTCCAGAAACCTGAAGAGAAATTTGATTATCTAAGGCCTCACCAATCAAGAATGCCCACCAGATGATCACGCCCTCTTGAACCAATCATTGAACCGATCATGTGCCTGGGACTTCGGCCCCTAATTTTGCCCTCAAAAACACAAGTGGGGGAACATCTCAGGGAGACAGGTCTTTTCAGCATGAGCTGCCCGCTCTCCTTGCTTTGTGCTTTGCAATAAAGCTGTACTTTCCTTCATCACACCATGTGCCTATGGTTTGGTTTTATAGCGCTTGGGCGAGCGAACCTGATTTGAGTTCGGTAACAGAATGAAGAGAGAAAAAAATTCAGAAAAAAATTGTAGTACACCTGTTACTAGATTTTTAGCTCTGTCTACATTTGTTTTTTGAGTTTTTAGTATCTACCTAGTATATGAACAGAATCCTAACCTTTTTCCTGGCTTTAAGTCTTGTGAACAGAAGTCTGACTGCTTTTTCCTATTTTTCCAAAGTCCTTTCCAGAGAGCCAAGGAAGAGTCATGCCCACAAACATTAACAGGTCATTTTTCTCTCATGTAACAGTATTCTTCCTAAATCCTATCCCTGGCATAGTATCTTTGAGATGTATATTTCAACTGATTACAGTATACCCTTGCTAACCTCTTCCCAAGGCACAGAACTTCCCTTTCCTTGAGATGTAGACTAAGCATTTCTTTGGGAATCTCTTCCCATGACACAGACCTTCCCTTCCAGTCACCAACCTAGGAATTGGGGAACCATCTATAACCTACAAGTCCCCTCTTCCATATGTTCTGCCTCTTTGGGCCAGACCAATGGAAATCTCCTCACAAATTTTGTCTGTACATCTCAAAATCAAATAAAAGGAACCCCTGTCCATAACTACCCCAAGAAAGGCATGTATGCCTCTTCTCTAGGCCTAGGTCACTCATATTCTGCTTGAAAATAAACCGAATTATTAATTTTTATAGTTGGTTATTTTTCTGTCAACAGTCTTAAGCAAATTTTTCTTAACATTTTTAAAAATTTTGTTACATTAAAGTTAAAACTGCTTTTCTTGAAATTTTACTCACTGAGGATGGTCAGTTTGATACACTCACCAAATCACAACAGCTGATGTATAGACAATCACTGTAAATGTAAACTACAAACCAGAAAATTCTATCAGATCACCTCAGCCTGCTGTTTTCACTGTATTTCACTGGCAAAAGTTTGTCTTAGAACATAAAACAGCTTTGAATTATGTCTTGGCTTACTAGAGAAGAGTTTGCATGATGGCAACATTTCATGTTGCACTCACAAATCTTAGGTAAAATGAAATTCATCTGAGTAAATAAAACAATAAGCTACCTGGCTACTAGTAAAAATAGGTTAGCAGCTTGGCCATCTTTGTTATGTATGGTAGTTAAATGTGCTTTCCAATTTGGGAACATCATAGTGGAAGCTAGTGCTAACATAATGGTATTGAAAAACTAAAGGTAAAGTCTGAGTACTCTGAAATGAAAGTATGCAATTTCCTCCAATCTTGATCTCTGAAACTATGTCTCTATTCAGCAAGAAGCAGCCAGATCAGTCATCACCCATTTCCCCTCAGGATTGGGAGTTTTTTCCCAAAGACTAGGGGGCACTGAAACCGAGTAGGGACCCCTAAGAGAGATGGGTCCTCACTTTCCCCTTCTGTTAAAGAAAAAGAATTTCCCAAACTGAAAATGAATAAAGGCTGAACTAAAAGTAAAGTGTATTTTCTAAGGTTCTTTTTTTTTTTTGAGAGAGATTTTTCACTGTAGGGCGCGTGCGCTCGCCAGACAAGACAGAGAGAGACATAGAGACAGAAAGCGAGAAATCACCCCCCAGGGGGGATGGTCACCCCGCAATCCCTTCTCCTCCATTCTCCTCTCCGGATCTTGGGCACACACGCACACGCGCCCGGCGTGAGTTTTTAACCCACGGGGTCCAGGACACAAACCGTGGTCGACTACATGGGAGTCCAGCGACATAGCCATTACGCTAACTGCTGGTTCCCTAAGGTTCTTAGAACACAAGGTCAATTTACATTATAATGGCCCAGTTTAGGGAGTAAGACTTTAGACTTTGGTTATGATAATGAAATAACACTGGCCATGAATAAGGGCCATTTGACCTCTAAAACTCTCACTTAAAGGAAAGATAAGGTTTTCATTTCAATGTGTAAAATGTTTTGTAGGGTGGAAACTGCTGTCTGAACAAAGACTCCAGGCTGAATGGCTCCAGAAACCAGAACAGAAATTTGATTATCTAAGGCCTCACCAATCAAGAATGCCCAGGAGATGATCACGCCCTCTTGAACCAATCACTGAACTGATCATGCTCCTGAGACCTCTACCCCTAGTTATGCCCTTAAAAAACGCATAAGCGGAACACCTCAGGGAGACCAGGTCTTTTCAGCATGAGCTGCCCGTTCTTTTTGAATTGTGCTTTGAATAAAGCTGTGCTTTCCTTCATCACTTTACATTCCTGAGTTCTTATAAACAGCAACAAAGGCATAAAAAAAAAAGATTTTTTTAAAAGTCATAGCAAAACTAAAATTAACTACTACCCACGAGTAGAACCTGGGAGCAAATGTTGGCACTGTATTAAACAATAGCAGCTGACACATTCTGGCTTTGATGAATGATATAGAAACTACTAGACAAAAGAGATAGAGAGACACAAAGGTGCTTCAACTCCTAATCCCCTTCATCTCTCAACTTCAGGTCTGTTCTATCCTCATCCCCAACTCTACCCTACCACCATTCCGCCAACTCTTTCAAATCTAAACAGATACCACAAATCTTTAGAAAATATAACACTGGTATGGATGAAAGGAGAGACTTAATGGTAACACAGAATATTCATCTTAGATAAAGACAATATACCATCAAGATGAACTCATAATAGGAATATATACAGATAAGTATAGTTGATGCATGTTTAGAGTACCAGGGATTCAGCCAATGGGAGGAGACAGACTGAGCCACTTTAGGAAAGTAGGAATGCCAGATGACAGCCTAATGCAAACAGGAAATTGGATTGGAAACAATTCATATTAGAATGCTTCAAGTGCGAAAAGGGCACTAGACTGTATGGCAATGTTTTTTAAATTAGATATATAAGCAGATGTAAATTAAAATAGAACAAATAGAACAAAATCATGCAAATGCAGGAGAAAAAAAACAGGATTCCAAGAAAACAAAAAAAGTACAATCACAGAAGTAATGTATTCACTGGAAATAGCTTCAGAGTCACAGTGGCACAGCAGATAGCACAATGCCCTGCAATGCTGGAAACCTTGCAGAAATTGGGTTTCAGTTCCCTGGTGGACATGTTCAGGATAGGAGTAGACACCAGAGATGCTGGCTGACTAAGAAGGCTGAGGGGATCTCAGCATGAGATATTGTTGAGGGTTTTTATCTTCCCAACCTTGTGAAAGAAATAAACTCTTTTTAAAGAAAAAGAACACTTTGAAAAATTAAAAGTAATGGGCCAGCCTGTAGCCTGGTGGTTAAGGGACCTGGACTCCATATACCCTATAGCATGGTTTGAATCCTGAACCTAGTAGCTTGAGAAACACACCAGGCACATGTGTGTGCAAGCCTGAAATCCTGAAAAGAGGGAGAAATGAAGGAGGAGGAATTGTGGCATGACCATGTCCAATGGGAAGTATTTTGCTCTTCCCTCTGTCTCTGAAGAGCACATGCAAAAATTTTTTAAAAATAAAATCTACCAATAAGATATATGTTTTCTAGACACTAGAAAAGATAAAAGATAAAGAAAATAAATTTTAGATGAACTAGAGACTTAAATACAAAAATAAAACCATAAAGAACTAAAAGAAGATACTGATGCATATTTTTATCTCTTCAGTGTAGATTTTTCTAAACATGATTCATAAGCCAAATAGTTTATGTAAAAATGTAATATTTGAATATCAAACAAGTTTAAGAGGCATTTTTACAAACTGTTTACAAACTGTTAAGATTATTTACCACACATGGCACCAGTGTTTAAGACTTGATCTATAAAATATTTGTATAAATTAGAGGAAAACCCCAATAAAAAGACTAACAAAAGTCAGGAAAGTACTATTTTTAAAATAAATCAATGGTTGATTAACACATTAAAAAAAAATCAACCTCATAGTCAAATTAACAAAAGAGTTATGTGCCATGTTTTACCCATGAAGTTACAACTTTCATAAAGGTTGAAATTCAGTGTTCATAATGCCAACAAGAAAACTTATACTTCATGTGAAGAACTGTAAACTCGTACAATACAGGATGGTGGAGGTAGCTTAGAATATATGCTTTACAAATATTCAATTATTGGGCCAGCCAGTAGCATGGTGGTTAAGGCTGCTGGATTCCAAATAGCTGACTGCACAGTTCAAGACCTGATCCTGGAGTCTTGAAAAACATAGTAGGCAGTGTGCCTGCATGCCCAAAATCCCAAGAGGGTTTTCTTTATCACTGTTTATCTTATACACTTTTCCATAATCAGTATGTACAACCTTCATAATTATTGAAATACCAGCAACAGTAGTGATAGAAAGCTTATTATCTAAGCTTTTTCTCCTTTCTAAGAACATTGGCATACTATTCCTTTTCATCTTAGCATGGGAGAAAGCACCATGATCCCCATTAATGGAAAAAGATGTGGCTTGCCATCAGCCTGAGGGACACTTTCAGTAGGATGATTATAGCTGCTATGACAACAAGGGGAGGATGTGATGTCACATAATGATTCAGTGACTTAGCTGGTCCTGTCCCAATGCAGAGCTCTTACTGCCAGCTGGAAATCCAGCAGAGACCTCATTAAGGGCATCTGTTCAGTAATTACTACAAGTTTCCCCTTGTCACGCATCCAGCACTGAAAACAGCCCTACCACAGAACCCAACACCCAATTCACAGAGGGCCTTAATATTCCACTTCTATAGAGCCCAGACTGACAGCCCCCAGAGGTCCAGGGTCAAGTTTCAGCACGGTAAGTAAATGCAATCTTGATTAACAGGGACCAGGAGGGAAGCAGCAGCTGGAAGATTTTTATTGAAGCCAAGGTAAACTAGAATGTTCAACGTCTTATATCTTACATTGCATCTCCCTAGCACGTTTAAATATTGTCATTTCTATTAGAGAACATTTAATATGCCTTTACTCTCAGAAAAGAAGGGCAGGTAACCGCACAGAAAGCCAAAGAATCAACTACAATGTTAGACTGAAAAATGAATTCTATAATGAATACAAAATCCCAAGAACCTATTCTCACAGAACACAAAGCTCTGCAGTGTAGGGACAATTTGCTACAATGGAAAGAGCCAGAACTGTTTCGAGTTCCTGCTCTATTATTTAATATCCTGAGCCTCAGTTTCCTCACCTATACATTGAGAATGAGTCAAAACTATACTATTATTAGAGGGCGGGCAGTGGTGCAGTAAAACAAGACACATTTTGATACTGACCCACATGGGAAGGTTCCAGGTCTGCTTCTAGAGACCTCCTTGGGCATACCCGGTACACACATGCTCATGATTTAGGGTAGGCTGAGGCTGGAAGTGGACCGCAGCATCAAGACCCTGTTAGAAGTTCATTCTCTCTCTTTTTCTCTCTCTCATGGAAGAAATACATAAACTTACAGTATAATGAGTTAAAAGGGTTGTTGAAAATTAAACATAAATCTCTAAGCTTAGTGCCTAGTACTCAAAAAAGCTAGATCCCATTAAAAAAAAAATTCAGGACCAGCAGTTAGCGTAATGACTATGTTGCTGGACTCCCATGTAGTCGACCGCGGTTCGCGTCCTGGATCCAGTGGTTTAAAACTCACACCGGGCGCGTGTGCATACGTGCCCAAGATCCCGAGAGGAGAATGGAGGACAAGGGATTGTGGCTTGGCCATCCCCCCTGTGGGGTGATTTCTCGCTTTCTGTCTCTCTGTCT